GAAATTATAATTCCACTCTATCTGTGATGATGCAAACATGTTGCAACACACTGATACCATGAATGCTTGAGGTATCTTACAAGGCAAGTCAGTGTAATGCCATAATCAAGTTAAACTCATCTCCACAGAATACTTTAAAAAAAAATTAATCACAAGTCATCCTTTCATTGTATGTAAAATTACAAATGTTATGGTTAACAAAAAATATCTTTTAATCAAATATCTTTCAAAAATATGTTTTAAAATCCTCTTTTTTATATTACTAGTTAGAACTGGTACTTAAAACCCAGTACCTTTCCTGTACATGATATTGGACCAAAGTCTTCAGGTGACCTATATGACAGGACCTGATGAAATATTTTATCTACCATAGAATTCTGCCCACCTAGTAGATTTTTGTACTTTGTGGAGATAGTTCAAGTGTATATTAAAATCTGTTTGCACTAATTGGCAGAGCAAATTATTTTCGGAACCATATGTCCAAAGGGCCTCTGAATTTATTCCTCCAATTTTACACGCATGGGCTTCCATACCTTTGTGAATTTAATGTTTGTGTTCATCACTCTGACATTTCCTAGCATTTGAAGAACCATTTTTGCACAGGTGATGTTAGAACAGTTTAGCAGGACATTAGAAAAGACATTTACATTTAGCAAAATTTTAACATGGAATTTTCTTAGAAAAGAGGCTGAATTCCAGATATTAAATGAAAAAAAAAAAAAAAGAAAAAAAGGAAGAAAACAAAAGTCTGACTCATTTTCTGTGCTTAGATTCTCTTCTTTAGAGGAGGAAAAGCCTGAAAAGCTTTTGGAAACAAACCTAAATATCACTGAGCTCTTTGGTAAAATCTCTGTGACATATAAGGTTCTGAAATCACAGTACTCGGAAAAAACATAGACAATTGATTAATAATGAGGACAGAAATACAAATGGATTTACATCTAATGAAGACTGAAGACACAGTAATCAAAGTGTTAAAAATTCATTTCATGCACATTTCATTTGCCTCTTAGCTGATATTTATCATGTAATTCTGTGAGAAAGTGGAGGCCTAAGATGCTCCAGATAAATGTCTCAATTAATTGTACAGAGGTAGCCCTCTTTGAGCTGAACCAGAGCTGTGAGCTCTTTATTAAAAGCACTATTCTGTAGCCTGTAACCTTGTTCCTTGACTCCTCTCTAGTTTCCAATTTAAACAAGTCCCCATGCGGCCCACTCTAAAGGGCTTTGTCTCCCTGTCATTGTTATGAGAGCCAAGGCATCCTGGAAGTGTGAAATCAGACCTCATGAGCTGAACGGTTCCCCAGGGAACACAAGACCTCGCAGAAGGTCAAAGTCATGGGCTGGACCATCTGAAAGCGTCTGATCACTGGTCTGTGACACAGCAAGAAGGATGGGGGTAGGGAGAGAAAGAGCCAGGGGGCTAGAATTGAACACATCTTAATTAAACCCAAAGACTACAAAACAAGCTATTTTCTAGTCATCTAGGCCATCTTATGGAGCTTGAGTTTTGTTCTTGCTAATGAATCTGAGTTCCTAAACATTATTCCTTAAAAGCACAGCACTTTTGCAAGAAATCGATCAAACCTGCGGCACATCTTTTCCCAACCTGCTTACTTTTTATGAATGATAAGGTAGAGATTTTGAATTTTATTTCATGACACAAGGAGCAACGTATCTGCCCCAGTAAAAGAGATGCAGACACTGCCTTGCAAAGCCAGCAGCCTTCCATAACCACCCACCAGCTATATCTGACTACACTGCAGAAGGATTAGATATATCTGACTATTGCCTAAACCTAAATTATGTCACAGTGAAGGGCTTATTGCTTTACTACCTGTAATTTATATGGGTTACGTGAAACCCATGTGTATAATGTCAGAAGCCAACTGTCATGATGAGTCCATTATACTTTAGGTTTTACTGAACCACCAGAAAATCTCTTCATATCAAAGGATGTCACTGTAGGCACAGCACCTATCCTGCCAGGGCTCTGCAAGAAGCCAAATCCTTGAGAAAGTCTGCCTGAGATATCACAAGCAAGCAAAGACTTAGGGAAACAGGAATATAACTCCTCCTAACTCAGGATTTAGGGAGAAAAAAGCCAAGTACTGAATAGCTAAAACACAATGGAAGACTCAATTGGAAGTTTCTTCTCAGACAGAGAAGGAAAAATTAAACTTCATTCTCAATATCTTCCCATTCATTAGATTACACTTCCAAAGAATTTTTACTAACTAATACATGATTTCCAGAAAGATATATTTGCTGTGGCCACAATTTCCAACAGAATATAATTTTGCATTGGTGGAATCCCTAAAATTGTGTATTGATCATGGAATTACACTGTTTTTCTGGCAAAATCAACCTCAGACACCAAATAATTTTCCCAAAGGCCCTGGTCCTGAAAGATATCCTATTTTTCAGCTCTTGCAAAAACCAAGTTAAGCTTTCAAGCACCGGTGGGGAGTCTGTCTATCCCTCAGTGGTTCTTCCTCTCATAGATCTCAGTGGTTCTTCCTCTCATAAATCTCCTGGCAAGTGGGTTGAGTGAGAACTCTGACTGTACTTTTCTGGGGTATTTTTAATATCCACTTATGGCATGTTCCAGCAGCACAGCATTTCAAAACTGGTAATGTCTACTTGCTCCCCTGCCTACAACTTAACTGAAATTTCAGCTTATCCTGGCACATTATTCATTGCATGTACATGTAGGGGGATTGTAAACTGACACCTGAACCACCACCCTTAATCACTCTCTTTTTAAAAAAACAGTGCATTTGAAGTGCACTGTCCAACATTAGGCTATTGAAAGTGGAAAAAAACCCCTGCCCTTGGCTATCAACAGTTTATTAAGGGCTTAACTAAAGTGACCTACTAGCATTCCACTGAGGGAGGCTATGAGCTTTCTGAGGAAAGGAGTAGAATTGAGGGTTTCATTAAAAAGTAATTTGTGCTTTTTACTCATTCATTCAACAGGAGTCTCAACTGCTTTTTATTCACACAGAGTTAGTACAGTATTACAATGCTGTTCAATGCATGGGACAAAGAAAAAATTTCACATTTTGAAAGCGAAAAAAAGATCCCTGCAATCACAGCAGCATTGATGGCTACTTAAAAGATTACAGAAATCTTTTCCCCTCTGTGTTTATGTTTAAGAATGGAATATTAAGGATTTTAAAAATCTACTCAGCTGAAATTAATAAATTTTGATTTATTATTTCACATTAAAAGATTCCTGGAAATGAAATGGGATATGTTTAGCAGGCAGGAAACAGAGGAAAACACACGGATACTACATAGTTGTTCCAGCCACTTTTCAGACTCAGGGGCAAAAGATTAACTCTGAAAACACATTACAGTAAGAAGAGCAAACTAGTCCTTGGCTTTCACTTATAGAAACAATCCTTAGTAGTGCAAGTAACACTACTGATGACAGCACTCTCCACACTGATTACTTAATTGAACAAAAGTGGGTCAAGTTTTTACACAGTTTTTTGCAAACATGATTTATTGACAACCACCAAACACCTACTTTATTTCTCATTATTACTATTCAAAGTTTAATTTTAAATGAATGACCTGTACATAACTACAAGTTACTAAAAATAGCTATAAATTACAACAGCAGATAATAAAACCACTTCATCCTCTTTTCAAAATTCCCAGTTACTTTGGTCCAGAATATACAAGATTTCTGTCACATCTGGAATGCGCAGCCATCTTACAAAATACATCTGCTGTACCAACCCTTTTTCTTACTAACAAGGGAAGATAGTGAGTGTTCTTTCCATCCTCCTGTCTGTCATCCTAAATACAATATCTGAAAATTTTTGGTAGCTCTATACATCTTTAATTGAATCAAATATATTTCCAAAAATATTGTTCAACCAGCACAAATAACATGTTGATTTGGAAAAGCTGAAAACTGAATGAGGTCAGGGACTAAATTATCCCATTTGCCCCTGACTTAATCTCTCTCTCTGTGTTCAGAAAACATTGGATTATAACGTCAAACCAGACTTTAGAAGCATTTCTACAACCTCACCAAAAATAGAATCTGTTATTTTGTGTGCCACAAGCTGGATGATCAAATGTTTGCACTGATAAAATGTTTTCACTATTACCTTGTCTGAAATACTGGTAGTCATGTTAATTATCACAAAACTACTAAAAATTGAGTAAGTTACTCTATAGCTGCTCCTTTAACAGAACATCTATTCCAGTTTCCTTTTACTTTCTTCCCATTTTCAAAAATTTTCATTATTATTTTAAATCAGAGATGGCTATTTTCTGACACAGAGGCAGCTCATTTTGCTCTGTTCAACTCATGCGGTGTGAAGGTGATTGTGCCTAGAGGAGATAACTTGGACATTGCTGGAGAAATATAGTCAGTATGACTGAAATACTTTTTCTTTATTTTGCAAAGCAGTGTGTCAAATTAACCATTCAACATACAACATAAAATAGAAAATTAAGAAAAAAAATCTTATTTCCCTTATCTTGTAAAGATAAGCAGTAGCTACAGCAAATTGCATTCAGTTGCAATGTCTGAAACCAACAGCAGTCTTGCTAAATATCAGACAGATATCAAGTGGTTATTCTGGCAACAATTTTAAGTCTGGAATATCTAAGTCAGGAACCTTTTATTTGCCTTGTACTTTGGAATTTAATGTTGATAATTTTGTATGGTTTCATCTAGTAAAATAAAAGAAGTTTCTTCTACGTAATTTTTATAGGATGTCTGATGGAGAAAAATGTATATTTCATCTTTATCAGAAACAATCTACTTAGGGCTCTGCTAGTATAAGAATGACTTGCTGCCTTACAAAACTTACATTTGCGTTTAGATTTTTTCATTAATGAGCAGGAGATGGAAGTGTACAAACAGAACATAAACTGTAGATGAACTTTTTTTTTTAGCATTTTTTTTCCCCAGTTCTGAAACCACCAAATATTACTATGGTATTCAGTGTCACAGAAACTAAATGAATCCTTGCCTGTGACATCAGCTGCCATCAATGCTTCTGCCCTGATGACCTTCACCTGAAGAAATCCCACATCGCTGATGTTATGAAACATCATCATTGGACTCTAAAAAATAATAAAAAGAAAAATAAATCTGGATTGCAAAGGAGACAAACCAAAAGCAATATTAATACTCTCCTCCCTTGCCTAGATGTAGGTTACTATAATTCTGCCTCAATACTCAGACTTTTAAATATTATTTGCTGAAGAATTTGCAGTTCTTTGCATTTCTTCCTATATTTTGCAACTTTAACTTATCAATGAAAATTACAAAGGAAGAGTTAGAGTACGATTGATTAACACAAATTCTAGTGAATTAATCCCCTAATACTATGGGAATAACTGTACTTCAAAATTTGAAATTATAGCAGTATATAAAGAAATCAACAGAAAAAATGAAACAACTCCTTTCCCTGAATTATTTCGCAAGAACTATGTTCACATTTGCACTCTAATGCCTCCAATATTATCAAACTCTAGCTTTTAGTATTATTTAAAATTTGCAGAGTTTTAAATTATAAAACATTGAATGCAAATTTCATTCATAAATACTAGCCCATACCTTTATTTTGAAATATTTTAGAATCTGGACTAATCTATTTAATGCCTATGGTCCTCTCTAAAGTTTTAGTGGCAAAACTTTTTCTACTGCCTATGACAATGTCCAGATTTCTACAAAAAGCAAGCATCAGGGAAAACATCAAATCAACAATTCCTTAATTTATTACAAAAGCAAAATTTATATTATGGGAAACAAGAATAAATTACATCACTGAATCTAAAAGCCACAGATGCTGCTTAAATGAAATATTAAATGTCAGCTTGCAAAACCAGTATGCTTTTGCACAGAAAATCTACCCATTAAGAGGTTAGACATAAAATATGCATTCCTGTCTTTCTAATTAATAAGACAATTCTAACAGTTAAATCACTGACACTAATTTCATAAACCCCAGCTGACCATTTACTGTTTACAGTGAAGACTTAACCTTCCTACACTTTAAAATCCAATTCAGTGTAGTAGCCCATATGTTACATACATGCATTGTGTTATAACAGGGCAACAGTGAATAATTTTTTTACCAATTTTAATAAGTCATCATAAATATGACTTCAAAATACTTGTGGTCAACTCTAATCAGCACACACTTAACCCCTTCCTTATGTGTTTACAAGCTGAGGGCAGCAGAGATGGTATTACAGATAGCACTGGTGTAATTCAAAAGCATCTTTGCACCCCTCATTTATTACAATGATGATCAGGGTTTGGAAGCTTCTTATCAGAACTAGTACCAGAACAGAGATAATTCTGCTGTAATACACATGATGAAAATTACAGGACTTACAAAAATGTTTCCACAGTCTACCCAAGTTTCCCAACAACCAACACAAACATCAAGTTGTAGAAATAAAACAAAGCAAAAAGGGAATACAAAGCAAGACAAGCAATGGCAGCCACTTCCTATGTTGCCATACAGTCCCCTTTTTCCAAATTTCATCCTGGTTAGCTCACTCTTCAAAAGGGTGCCAGTGCTGTATTTTGCTTTGCCACCTTTGTTAGAATCCCACAGAATTTTTGAACTTTTATTTCCAGAAAGTAGCTGGCCTAGATTTATTTACTGCACATACTGAATGGGTAGACTGATGAAAATGAATACAATGCCACAACAGAGGCTCTTGGAGAAGCAAATTACTTTAACACATTACTTTAAATACATAACTTTAAGTAATGATTTATCAGATTATATTCTGCCTTCTTATTTATGATTATTGTTGAAGGTATCAAAAATCCGCATAGTTTGTGAAGCCTAGAATTTCCATAGCAGAAGAATCTGCTATTTGCTGGGAATCTTTTCAGGCCTCAATAGATGGGAAAAGATTGAAATGCTCTGGAGATGACTCTTCTGTATTTTTTTAATGAAAGGCTGTATAATATATTTTCTGTATGGCTGCAGCAGCTGTCAGGAAGAGCATCTCAGTTCAGCTCTATTATGGAAGAAGCAATACCCCATCCCATGGCATTGAGATACACTGAGGGGCTAGTACTGATTGACAGCTTGTCACCATGACGTCTTATTCCATCTCTGTTATGGAGAAAATTAATGTCACACCACCAGCCTCATGACTCGCTGTCATCTTAGAACTGCTCACCTTTTATCAATGCTCTAAATAACATTTCAAGCCCATCGTCTCACAGTGGACAATCTGGTCAAGGGACATTAAATCGGATGACTGTGAAATGTCATAATAAAAATGGAATGCTAACAACTTCTCTAAACTAGCTCCTCTGCTTTTTAAACTGTGACAAGGGGGACCATGAGTTCAGCACACCAGCTCTGAAAAGGTCATACAATCTCTCTTGGTCTGTACCCATTAATGTGCCCCCCTCCTCACCCCAAAAGGAATTAATCTTTTCAGACAATTGTGGTAAAATAATAGTTCAAACAGTAATGCCTATTTAATTTGTAAGGCTCTGATGTTCAGCTACAAATGGTTAAGTGACAGTAATAGAGTCATTTTCTAAGGCTATTTGATCTGGTGGCAAGGTCAGCTCATTAACTGTTTTTGGCTGTAGAAAGGGTGCAAAATACATTTCTCAAGTGGAAGCTAGATTTTTTTAAGAGGAAATAAATCCAAAAAAACAGCCACTCAACAGGGAAGTCTACATCTTGCTAATTACACATGCTGTCTTTGTATTGGTTATGAAGTGCAGGTATGAATACCAAAGTCAAATTTAACACCAGTAAAAATAAACTACTTGAATTAAGTTAATCCTGGTAATTTCTTTCTTCTGCTGGTAATTTTAATAAAAACAGTAGAATTTATCAAAAAAGTATGCAAATGCAACAATTTTCAGAAACACATAATGAGAAACTCATACCTTTGCGATATGAACATCTTTCTAAAATGTGAATGTTTTCAAATGCATACACCAATGTAAATATATGAACAGACACATATCCTTGTATTTACAGGAAACAAGAATAAACCAGATCAATTTTATGCCACATAATTATGCTTTACAAAAAATTGAGAATTTAGGAAAAACTATTAACCGTACAGTCGCAACATGTTTCTATACTGCTACTGAAATAATCAAAACCAGCAGTATCACTTGTCTGCAATATCATCACACTGAATAAGCCACAGAAATATGTTATTGTTGCTGTTGGTAGCAGGAACTATGGCACCTCAAAAACATATACATCAAAAAATTATTCTACTTGTGGACATCTATTTTGAAAACCACAGACTGTCTTGGTGGATTCCAAAATGTACAGTAACTCCCTTAATTGTAATTATTTTTCAGAGGTGGTGGACAATACCTTAGCCTTCAATTCATTTTGGAATATTACATTTAGCCTCACTAAGTCACCTCTATTAAATTGTGTTTATGATAATAAGACTATTGGTGTATGAGTTGTACAAGCATTAGCAGACAGCTGATTCAGTGGAGATAGACAGAATAAATTTGCTGAAGCACACATCCTGCTAATCTGTTTGAAGAATATTGTACAGCATTAGTGCTAGGACTTCACGTTATCTGCACAGCCTGATAAGGTACATCTTTATTAAATTCAGTTATTGAAAGGATGTCCGTCATGGAATAGGAATATTTTAAAATCTCAAAAATAAATTAAGCAGCCTCTTTGATAGTCAGAGGCTGGTTTAATGGCTGAGTGTCTAGAGAAGCCCTTCTAAACACCTGGCAGAATTGTACAATAAAAGCTTTGTAACTGCAAGTGGAAATAGCATTTTTTTCTTTCTTTCTTCATGTGTAGTGAGACAGTTACTTTTAGTGATTTAGGTATTAGCAAATGCTGGAGTAAGAGCTCCCCTCTCTGTTGCTTTGATAAAATTACAAAGACTCTGTGTAATGTAAGGATGCTGGGAAATTAAAATAATCTGTTTTAGAATATTTTAAAATGGAAACATTGTTTGAAACAATCATTTTTATGTGCTCCAGCCTCTTAATATTTTACGACAAAAAGATAAATTTTCTTACCCTTTAACAGACGACCCCAAAAAAAGCTGAAAACCATTCATTAGTACCTCAAATTGTTTGGCATAAACAATCACTAGAAACTGTTGAGTTGCTGAATGATCCTTTAGCCACTTTGTGTCTCGAAAAAATCATCTGTAAGGCTGTAAAATTACCTTCATTATGTGACACCTTATCAAACAGTTCAACTACCATGTGAAAAATAATGTTATTGTATGAAGAGCATTTGCAGCCTTCTTGATGTTACCTGTTCTGGCTGTAACTATTTGTATATTAATAACTAGTTTAAGTGATTGTCATTGGCTAAGTGTGATTAGAATAGAAGAGATATATTTAGATTTTCCCCTCACTAATTATTTTTTATACAGGCCAATATTTTGCTAACAAAGGATGAAAGAGAACTTCATACATATCTCTTCAGAATCTCCTCTCGCTCCTTCTGGTCCTCCAAGGAGTTGATGGAGAGGTCAGAGATAGTGACTGCAGCTGATGCTGTGAGAGTGACCAGCAACACCAGGTATCCCTCTCCTTCCTCTAGCGACATCTCCATCTTGTGGGTTTGTTCTTTACTTAGAGTCGACAGGTCAATCTGGCACCTAGAAACATACATTCTCCATCAGCATGCGGTTTTTCTCACACCAAAAAAGAGCACATTGAGCACATTGGCTCACTTGCATTCAAATGGACAAAAAATCCAAGTAAGCAGAAACTCCTGCCCAGCTTCTGAAAAAGATCTTAATTTCTCTTCAGCTTTAACCCATGCCCTTTGTTTCTTTTTTTTTAAAGCTATACAAACAGTTTTGAAGTGAAAAATCAATATTAATAAGAATGTAAAGACACTAGAGACAAGTTTAGCTAATATTTCTTACTCAAATGCAAAGAAAATTTTAAAAGATCCAGCTCAGATGCAAATTTTATTTGTAATTACACCTCTTGTATACATGCAAAACGTAAGTTGTCACATGAACAGTTTTCACCTAACAACAGTAAAAACCTCTTTCTTAAAAAATATAATTCTACATGGATTTAATTGTGATGGCATAAAGATGACTAAGCATAGAAAAACTCAACTTATGCATCTCCTGAAAGGATCAGCTTTCATGCAGTAAGTTGTGTGTGGGTCAAATCCTCATGTTGGCACCCAGGGTAAAATCTGATGCCACAACCCCCTATATAACAAAATGTCTCAGGCTGTAATGAGCAGGAACTACATATAACTGTGCAGAGTGTCTGCAGAGTGGCTGAAGCAAATCTGCCCTGCTTGATCCGCTTCTGAGTAGCTCTGGATGTACCATGCACTGAACTAATGAAGAATGATTCCATACATGCTGGACAGCAGAAACAGCTTTGCAACAGCTTTAGAAATTTAAGTTAAAGGAAGGAAAAAATGTATTTCTGTTACCCAAGAGCTGACTAAAACCTTTTAAATAAAATAATATTATCTTAGTGTCAATTAGTTTGTGCACAGCTTAAATGTTTTAATACTTTAATTTGTACAGTGCAGAAGTTTCAACTTTTCAACTTTGAGCATGTATTGAAATTCAGTGTCTGTGTCAACTGTAATGCCAGTTTGCATTGGACAGGAATTTCTGTGAAAAAGCACTCTTCAGAATACTTACGGCAACCCAAACTGAGTTTTGTCGACATTTTCTCTAAATGAAAACATCAATAATACTGGAATAAAATAAACTTACATATTCCATGTGTAGGTTAGCAACTCTACACTCCACTTTCAACAGTGATTATTTAATAGGACAAGCATATGTACTACATGCCACTAATTCACTAAACTAAACATCAAGCAAACTCTTGTCATAAAATGTCAATTGATTTTGAAGACAATGTGGTCACTACAAGGGCAATAAAATAAAGAAAAAGGTGGCAGACATTAAAATATGGCTATTTAAGGACAGGAAATAGCCAATTATGAGAATAAATGCACCCTCATAAAATGAGCATTGTGCTATCACAGGCAGACCAGATTTACTTTTGTTTTTTCAGAGACATTTATTGCCCATTGTGCAGTTCACTTAACTAGTGCAAAGCTCATACAGTAACAAGGTTCAATTATCTTACAATATAAAAATTTCTAACTCATGTAGGATTCTGAGCTTAATGCTTTTCTTCTATTTTGAACTCTTTGGATAATAGGGAGTGAGAAATTAAATTAGCAATAGTAAGGAAAAATAATGCTGTTGCTATCAGCGCAGGCTGATAGTCAATACAAGCTCCATACATGTACATAAACAGTCAAATTCTTATTTAGAGTGCAGTGAGGAATTTAAAGCCCTCCTTAAGACAATAAATATTGTGATTAAACATTCAAAGCTGTAGCAGGCTAAAAGACCCCCAGTATTAAATACTCTTCAATAATTTATTTCAAAACAGATACCCCTCAAAAACAGGACTTGGCAACAATATCGAGTCTTCAACAAATAAACATTTAAAGAACCAGTCTAAGCTCCCTTAAATTCAGTAAAAGGCTCAGAAAGTCATTATGATAATAATGGAGAAATAATCTACCCCTCACTCAAAAATAGGCAACAAAAGCTAAAATAGGCAACAAAAGCTACCCCATATATATCCATCAGAAAAAAAAAATGAGTGTAAAATTACAAGGTCTACATCAGGGCTACTAGATCTAATTTCTTCAATTTTTGAAGCTACAACCCTTTAACAATATGAGTAGTCCAGATTTTTTATTTAGGCTGAAAGAAGAAACTGGCAATTTGTTTTTACCTGTGCACCTTTCCTAAAGAAATGAAATATTTCTAATAGCATCACATCTAGAATAGATTACCTGAGAAATATGTATCTATCATCTGCTTGATAAATCTTCATGAACAGGCCATTACCAGCTAGTTATTTCCTAAAATCATACAAAGGTAGGAAGAGATCTGGAAAAATTTTTCCAGTAAAAAGCCTTAACCATTTTAAAAGAAAATTATTCTCTCATGTACCCTCACAAAATTTGATTAAAATATAGGGTTATTCCATTAAGGACTGTCATCTTTGCACTTTACAGAAGTCCAGGTTAAGAGCACCTTTATGCACACATGGTCAGATGAAAGCAGATTTCTCACCCCCTGCCAGATGCTCTGCTCTGGCCTTGAAAGAGATGCAGCTTACATGTGCCTAACTTGAAACTGCTGAGGCTCAAGGAGCGCCCAGCACAAGGGGAGCCTATTTACAACACATGCACTTCAGTAAAATGCTAAGACTTTCCAATCTACAGACACTGTAAGAAAAATTGCAATTTTTTCCCATTAGTACTTAAGTTTTTTATGATAAAAAATCAACTTCATTTGGTCTCATGCCAAATTATCCTAAAAAAAGAAAAAAAAAATTTTTTTTTGTTCATTCTCATCTGTCCTCATCAGATCTTTGTGCAGGAACAAAAAAAAGTGAAGGAAGTCTGGTTTTATTAAGTTATTGCCTAAACACTAAACTTATCCTAGAATAATCTTGACAGACTCCAACTGGAAAACCACAAAACTCCTTATTGTACTACATTTTTTTAGAAGGACTGAAGCTAACAATATATTTCCAAAAATATGCATCTGTTTGGAAAATATGTGTTTTCCAAATGTAAATATCTTTGGAAAGCTCAAGCTGAGAATGTCCCTTTATATTTTACTGAAATTATATTCAAGTATTCCAAGCTTTAAAGCTTTAACAATGCTGACTTTTGTATCAGTTAAGATGTTCTCTAAAAAGACATTTGTTTCCTACAACTATGTCTCCATGGGGAACAAAGATACTTTGAGGATGAAGGTGAACTTGTACATTACCAGAAAGTGGCATAGAACAAATGAGAAATTCTTGTCCCATATTCTCAAATTGAGGACCATGAAAAATTACACCCATTTTGAGAAGGCCATAAGCTGCATATGACCAGCAGCTGTCACACTGGAAACATGAGAAAATAGTAACTTTGTACAATCCTGTTTCTTAAGGAATTTACATGGTGCTGGTAAGGGCAAAGACTTTTTCCACCTGTAATGAGATCAGCCTGAAGAATTGTTGAAAAAAAATTGCCATTAACTCCACAGACAGACTTCCAAGCATGACTATAAATCACATTCAGGTATCTGTAGTTTTTAGTGCAGTTTGAGTTTTTTGTATCTTCCATGCTGTATGGCTCCTTCAGTGCACAGGGGTTTCAGCACTTCAAGTGGTGAGCAATAGCACTGGAACTATTTCCCTGGCTGGCTGGCCTTTTGGAAAGAGGCGTAGGGGCACGTATCCCACCTATCAGTTCTGCATGCGAACACTACCAGGCACCATGTGTAGCTGGATTTTCAGGACTTGAGAGATCAGAAGGGAGAAAAACCACAAAGTGCAACAAGCTCATGTGCCAAAGTTATCACAGATGAATTGCTCAAAAACAGGGTACAGCTCCCATGGAGGAAGATTTGAAGGTTCAAGGGGAATCTACCACTTGTCTGAAACTGTGTTCAATGTGTTAACCACACAAAATTTTAGAAACATATTTCAGATTTATTTTTAATTTGAATATATCTGGCCTTTGGTTCTTTTTATGCCTTTCCTTACTGGTTGAAAAACCCTTTAGTGTTTCATATTTTCTTCTAGTGCAGGAACTCATACACTATAATCATATCTCTTCTTGATCTTCCTTTTGATATGCTAAACACCTTCAGCTCCCTATACATTTCCTAGGAACATATCTCCTACAGCCCTCAAATGACTTTTTGTAACTTTTCTGATCCAGTGAAATTCTCCTGCATCCTTTTTAAAGTGTGGAAGGCAGAACTATATGTAGTATTTTATTATCAGCATGTCTAACAGGTAAAAATCACCTCCCCTCTTTAGTTCTAACAGAACCTGGAATGTAAGACTGTGTTGGCACCCTGGTGAAATATTCTTGCTAATGAATGAATTACAAAGGTAGCGACATGACATAGAAGGCCTCTTAAAAGCCAGGTGGCCAGGCAAGTGAGAGACAGCAGATAGTGGAATCGTTTTCTCACATGACAAAATAAAGCATAAAAGAGGAACTGGCACAATCCTAAGTGATAGGGACAGAAAAGCACCACTTGGCTACAAACCAGGCAACTTAATTACCATCATGACTTGTTCAGGAACATAGATTTTTAACTCCACTGTGATCCAGGTCTATGCTGCTCCAAAGGATGCCAAGGAGAGGAAACTGTGTGATTCCACAATTAGAACTGAGCTGGACACACATCAGAAGCAGCAAGGCATGAACTGCTACAATTTGTTAAACTCCATACCCTTTAAGAGCCGATTAAAATGTTCCAGTAAAACCAAGAAACAAAAGGAGAGGGAAAATTTTGCAAAGCACTAGCAGAAAATGACACATCTCAGAAACACTGAGTGTTGACTGCAGTAATGTGAATTTCTTAGAAGAATTGGAGCGTGACATTTTTAACTGTAAAGATAATGAGAAATAAATTAAATTATGGACTCCACATGATGCTTGTAGTAAGTGGTTAATAAAGGTGTTAGATTGAAAATCAGGGAAACTCCCAAAGGGGTAGGAGACAGTATCTCAGCTAAATAGGACATTGACTAAGGACAAGAGTGGTGCTGAGCTGGGGAAGCTGGAGAGGAT